TCTCTCTTTCTTTCTCTCTTTTTCCCATCGTTTCCCCACCGGATCTTGCCGTGGGCTTTGTTATCGGAGCGCATCCGGCGAGAAAAGCCGCGTAGCGTTGCACGCGCTCGGGAGTGCGCCGCGACACGTGCAACCGTGCGGATCGAGCGCGTTTTCGTCCGGCACCTTGTACCCGCTAATCGTTTCGGAGCTCCGGAGATGCGCCTCGTTACATTTCAAAGCTAGCTTCGGTAGTGTTCCTCCGGCGGTGAGGTTTTTCCTCCGGCGACGACAAAGAAGTCGGGCGATGTAAGAATCAATCAACATTCATTTTCCTTCCTTCCCGCGGAGGAACGTCTCTCGCAGAGGGGCGTTTTCTCAATCCTACGATTTTCACCGTTAGACTCGCTAGAGTAGTAAAAAAAAAAAAGGAAGAAATTGATTTTCTAAACGTTCTCGATTCAGAGAACGCGCTGCCCGACGGTCTTTTCTGTCGCGGGCTTTGTTATCGGAGCACGGCTCAAGTATTCTTATCGGTGCGGAGTGAAAATTCCTCACAAAGAAGACGATTGTATGAGCCTTGAGTATTAGTGTGAGGCACACGAATAAATCGTGAAAAAAATTGACGAGTGATGTGCATTGATAAACTTGATTACAAATTGTTTGTGTTATTTTAAAAGCGCTGATCTGCAAGTTGATCTTACGTTTACATCCTGTTCATATCTTGCTTTAGATTTTTACGATTTTTTTCCCTATTGCATTATATGCTAACATGAAATTAGAGTTAAATTGCGATTTTTGTGTAATATTCTAATAATCCGAGTGTTGAATGAATTTTTAATAACTAATTAAAGTGGCTCAGACTGCATATTATTAATCACGATTTAACTACATTTTATATCTCATAATAAAAAAATTCATACATATCGTATAAATATAACAGTTTCCTGTTTATTAGCAATTGCTGTGCAATTGCTGCTTATTAGCTTGTTCTCAGTATTATATTTTTTCTATTCCTATACTATTTTGAATATATCTTTTGCTATCAAATCATTATTAAACACCTTATCAACACCTTACTTGAACTAAACGACTAAATTGCTTGCAAACAGAAAAACATGTAAAATTTAAATAAATTAAATTTAATTAATTTTAAATAATTAGTCCCACGAAATAGATTTGACTGAAATCAAATTTGCTCCTGAGAACAAGTTTGGATTAAATTTTTCTTCCTTTCGAAAAAAAAATATTCTTAACACGCTGGCACGAAAAGTAGTAGTGCATTGCATTATATGAGAGCGCAATATTGCAGGCTGTGAAAAATAAATCGTGCGGAATCGTTATCTCCGCGAAAGGTGATTCCACGATCTTGAAAGGCAAGGAAAAAACGCGCGCGGCCGATAGAACGACTGGCGATTGGCGTTCGAGAGAAACAGACGGAAGTGTAAAACGCAATCACGTTGAAAGATGAAGCATGAGGGAAATTGCTCCTCGGCGGCGGACGATTCCAATGGAATTTTATTGCAACCTAGGAAAAGCTCGGCGGTGCGGCTGCAGATCGTGCCAACGCAGCCGAAGACGATCACGCACTTGCCGAAGAGGCCACCGGTCGATCTGGCGTTCACCGATCTCACATATAAGGTCCGAGAAGGTCGCAAAAATAGTGAGTATATTTCCATTTTTACTTATTGCCGACATACATCCTGATCCGCGGTCGTCATAGTTTTATATGTCCTCCAATCCGTTCGCGAGACCGACACGTTTTCTCTTCTCTTTCGATCGAGGGAGTTGTTAAGTTAGGTTGATTAAAGCGACTTATTACAAAAGTTGAATGTCGAAACGGAAAAATTGCGCTGATATCGCTTTCTTTCACAAGATGTGTCGATTAAGGCGGTATATTACAAAAGTCGAGTGTCGAAAAAGAGAAACGAAAATTGATATCGAAAATTTGATATCGTTTTCTTTTATTCGATATCTCCGCTAACATCTTAAAGTAATAACATCTTAAAATATTTCTATTTCGCGTGTTATTATATTATATATTATATTATATTATATTATATATATATTAAAAAACACATTAGAAAAACGATTTTCACGATCTAACGCACAGCAAAAGGAGCGTTGCGTGACGTGATCGTATCTGCTTTCGGCGCAGTCCGAACCTTGGAATTTAAGCTTTGCCTTGCAAATACATCATTTTTTAATAGGCAATGCACACGATGTTCTGGAGATTATTATCGTGCATTCTTCACGGATTATTAGTTTTCAAAGAATCAACATGACTCCTCATCTCGTTGAACAGCGCCGACGTGCATTAGTTAATCACAAGATATATCAATTCACTTATATGATGGCTAATAATATCCTTTACGCACGCGTAAAACGTCGAAATCAATTTTTTAATACCTGGGAAATATCGCCGAGTTGTATAAAAATTTTAATTAACTGTTGTATATTCCGTAACCGTTGTAATTTACATTCTTTATCTAACCGCGATCTGAGAGACTTTCATATTAGGCACACACGCGGCTGGCGCATATTTCAGGTTTTCAGATAATTGGATAAGCTTCGATTGGACAAATCGGCACTGTGAGACTTTAGAGAGAGACTTGAAAAATCCGCGATATATATACTTCGTTACTACGTGAAAAGAAAAGCCAACGATCGGAGCGCAACGCAATATTAATATCCGATTGCCGATTAGGCATTAGTCGGATAGTACATTATTATATCGAGTATGATATAATGTTGCATCAGAAAAAAGATCATAAAATTGCAGAAAGATTATTTTGCAAAGCGATATGCGAGCATGCCACGCCCTTGTGTTGCATCCCATGTGTGTATTATTCGAATTCAGCATGATTTTTTTCGAGAAGAACTATTAATATTCTTCCGTTACATAATTATTATATTGTTTAATATACGATTGTTTAATAAACATATGTAACATGTGGAAATCAAATACTTTCCTGTTGAACATCAAGAAGCATTTTCTCGGAAATATTATACATTATCATACATTATTTATTTCCGCGTGATAATTTAATGTTATAAAATCTCCGATAATTTCCATATTCAATATAGTACACTAAAATGTCAAATGAACTGCAAAAACAAGTCGAAAAATATAAAGAAATGAATTATGAGTTTTTTTGAAGTAGAGAGGAGCATATGAAAATGATGAAATTTGATTATATTATTTGATATTTTATTTATTTATTTCTGTAAAAATCAAAATTTTAAAATTTTTATCAGAGCTACTCATGGAATCTGGTAATTGTTAATATTATAATTGTATTGACTTACATTACTATTCATGACAGATTATAAAATTTCTCAGTCACCCAATTCGAAAAATCAAACATAATAATTCATTATTAAATTGTTCCAATGAGAAATTCCGTAGGTCGAAGAATTTTTTTAACAGATTTATTATCATATATTAACTGCGTTACTTAATATTTCTGTGTAATATAATTTATATTTCTATAATTATGCTTATAAAAACAATTATTCTACAATTATTTATTAAAGATCACTAAATTATTTCTTTACTTTTCTCGCTTCCATTTCTCTTCAGTCGAAAATTGATTTCCACAACACGGATCTTAATTAATTTTTTTAAATAAAATAGCTGCATATATTATTTTTTTCAAGTCGCAGGAAAGCGTAAAACACATCGTTGACTTAAAGTTTTTAAATAAAAATATATACTGTGCTCTTTGTGCAGGAGTAAAATTTAGTTTTTTTTTTTTTTTTTGTGAATGTTTTATATATAATCCAATTATATAGAATATTTGTTAATGCGATGACAGAGAATTCTGTTTTAGAAACATCGGAACTACGAATATCTTACAGGTTGTTTGCTTGTGGAAAACAAGTCCGGAATATTCAAAACAAGTTTAGGATGTCCTTTGTTTTTCTATCGCTTCTCGCGTGCGTGAACCAGGCGGCGGACGCGCAATAAATAGTCGCAAACTGGTTTCCGCTGACATTGACCGCCGAGTGAAAGTGCACGCTCGCATGCCAAACGCATCGAAGAAATGCGGCACAGTGCAGCAACAATGTGCAACAGACACTCCCATGTATTTCCGCGAGTACATTCCCGGGCTCTCTTATCGGTAATGCGAGAGATAACGCGGTCTAGCCTGCCGTCTTAACACCTTGCTCGAAGGAAGGCCGGTCTGTACTTGCTATTCGCAAAACGCAATTCGTAAATGTTCTCTTCTATATGTAAATTACATTTCGTTCCGTTTTGAAAATAGCGACTTATTAACACAGATAAGCAACCGATGAATAACACTCGTCCATACTTTAAACATAAAAGCGTCTAGGAAGCCGCATGACTGACGAATAACTCAAAGTTAAATAATGCCACCTGTTGTTCAGTATCAATGCACCGTGTATGCTAGATTGATAATTCTAACAATAATACTAGGAAGTCAGATATCATATACGATATAAATGCGATCAATTTTTCGTAATGTCTCTTGTATCGCGGTCAGGCTATATTTGCGATATACGACATTTCGCTGTATGTATATTTTATGATACGGACATATATGCTCATAGATCGTATTTTGATTATTTATAGACTGGGAATATGACGTATTCGTTTCTCTCGCCTTTTTCATCTTTTTTTAACTCATGCGAATACTTCCGCAACGAATCAATTTTCGTGACATGAGAAAATTGATCGGAGTCATTAATTGACATTGATTTATTATTGTTTGCTAAAATTATTAAAATTTATGATTGAGTCAAATCGTTTAGCAATCGCTATGGACAATTACCTTCACCTCTTTATTTTTTATTCGCGTCAGCTCCACTTGACATTCTAATTTATAAGCTATATGAAAATCGTGCACGTTTCATTCAGCTTTCGACGAAGAATTCGTAATAAGAAGTAATTTAGTGCTTGTTATGAATAGCTTAGTGATCGCAATTTTGCAAGAAGGCCAATTACAACATGATATCTAAAATGAGATTTCCAAGGAGCGGCAATTACATCGGCGTAACTTAACACCTTGCAAAAGAATATTGAACTTTCATTAACGAATCTATATATCTTATATGTATCTAAAAATATTTTAGAAATAAACAAAATTAGAACTAATAAGACTAATTAATGGGAAACTGAAAAACAACTTAAAAGAGTTCTATTTAAAAAATTACATTTTAGCTAAATATAAATGATGCTTTTCAAAATTAATTTGATTTTAATTGAACATAATTGAAATAAGTTTTGACTGGTTAATTAAAATTAATTTTATAGATCATTAATTTAAGAAAACTATCTTATCCAACTCCAACTCTAAAAATAGAATTTCTTTCAAGAGATGAAGAGGAACGGGTTATTCCTCTCTAAGCCTTGCTCGAAACGCATACTTGATTCGAGGCGTAATCGATCGATAATAATATCGAGCGGTAAACATCAGCGAAAAGTCTTTGTTTCGTCTTATCTCGAGCCATGAAATAAAGCGAAATAAAGCGTTCCTTTGTACCGCTATAAACTCCGTTTCACCGGCGTTGCCTGCGGATTATCGTTCTATTCCTCTTTCAATATTACTATTCGGTTATATTTAATTGATTAATTAGTCGATTAAATCGATCGGAACCGAAGCAGCTGAATGCGAATCGAATGAGTAACAGATCGCGAAGATACGTGATATCGATAAATCTCGCCTTATCGTATTAACAAACGTCAAAATAAAAATATTTTTTATAACATGTATCTCGTCTCGAAGAGGCTGAAAATCAACTCTGACAGCTTTGAGAACGCCATTTGAACATACAGCTGGGCATGTTATATAGGACATAGCACTATCACGTTATTCTAATAATGTTACCTTGGAGATGTGTCCGTAATGATACTCATCTTCCTGTCGAGAACGGCAATTAAGCACCGGATGATGGCACGTCACTATTTTTTTTCCTTGGTTTTTCTCTTTTTCAGTAATAAACGTTACGATCGGCGGACATTTCTATGACCACAGATGCTGTAACCAGTTACAGTCGAGCAGGAAATATCATTTGTTTACTGCATAACATTATCGCAAGATTGATTGTTTTCTCGGAACCAAGGAAGCGCGCTATATAAACGATAATTATTGTTACAGTCCAAATAAAGGATTCATATTGAGCGATGTGCTTCAATGTGTTAGATAATTTTTATCGCGGCACGTGATCGTAGGTACACTGAAGAAAAAAATGTGCTGTTGAATCAGCGGCATAGTTTAAATATTAATTGGAAATAATTTTGTTAATTCAATGATATTATTAATGAAACAGTACATCATGCTCTTGTTTTAATAATCAAGATCTTCATTAATAATGTCATTGAATTAACAAAATTATTTCCAATTAGAAAAATGCTGTTGATTCAACAGCATTTTTTTCTTTCGGTGTATGCATTCGTGAGTACAAGATCTGAAGATTTTATTTTTTTCGTTTAGAATCTTCTTATCGAAGATCACCAGCGAAGACTATTGAAGAATAACAAGAAGATATTTGTTCATCAGTTTCACTTGTCTTATCCAAAAATCTTCACAAGAGGAATGTTATTACGTAGTAAACAAAGTGCTCGATCGAATCAACTTATTAGTACTTAACCAAATCTATATATAGGAACATTTTACATAATAATAAATTGATATTGAA